CTCTTCGCCTCTCCTCAACTCATTTCCTCCTCTAACCAACTTTTTTAAAAGAAATTAAGAGTTCGAATTTAATTCCAACTATTCTCCGAACAGTCACTAATTTTGCGTACAACTTTATACAACATTGGGCAAAGAACTCAAGTTCCTGTAAGCATAAACTAATTCTGCAGGGACACTGAATGTGATAGATATATACATGAAACAAGGCAACAATTATAAACTATAAGAATTCACTGACATTTTGATTTATATACATAGAAAGAGGTAAACTATAGACTACACCTCAAGCTTTGTAGAGGACTATAGGACATCAAGAATTATAGACTTTTTGAAGGCGACTCGAAAAAATCCTCACACAAAGTAAGATCCAACTATGCACTTAAAGGTTCCTAACAGTAAATCAAAAGTTGTCCCGATATTTCATCAATTAGATGAGACCAAGAATCATTTTCAATATTGTATCTTTTTCTACTACACAATTAACACAATAGGAAACAAGTTTGTTATTCCATATTTAATCACACATTATTTATGGTGTTACATTTCAACAAAATAAATTATAAAGTTGGGTATATTGTTACTAACTTGGTTAGCTGAAAAGGTAGTGGTCATTCAGTTGAAAAGGACGATGTTGTAGCTGGTACATGTGATTGATGAGCTAGGAAGAGTTCTTTCATTTTCATTACTTCTTTCATCTCATCTTCTAAGGTAGACAAGCAATTGTTCAAGGATTTGTTTTCCTCAGTCAAGGATTTGTTCTCTTCATTCAAGGATTTAATATCCTCTCGCGTTGAATGTAGTGCAGATAACAATTCAGCTTTTGAAGAAGTTCCACCTTTCAAGTCTTTTGCCTTTAATCCACCCCCAAATCCAAATATGTGGCTACAAGTTTGAGGTCCACAACATTTTTCAACAATCTCTATGGAAGGACTTCCTAACTATATAATATCAGCATCCATTTGTTCCACAATCTCAAAGGAATCACGAGGTTGAGTCTTCCTCACTACTTTCCAACTTTTGTTGGAATTATCATTAGCATAAAACACTTGAGATGCTTGATTCGCTAAAATAAATGGCTTATTTATTTTCAAAAATCTACTTGGATTAACACTCACAAAATCATACTCATCCTTTTTAACTCCTTTTATTTCATCATACACATCGAACCAATTACATAGAAATAAAATCACTCTTCTATCCATGACAAATTGCAACTCAATCACATCTGTTAAAACTCCATAATAATCAAGGTTCTCACTGTCTTCATCATTCTCACCCAATACAACAACACCACAATTTTGAGTCCTTAACTTGTTATCATAATCTTCTACATGAAATCTATATCCATTAACGACATAACCATTAGAACACGTTGAATATTTAGTGGGACCACGTGAAAGTGAGAGTAGATCTTCCACGATCTGACTATCATCTTGTTTGTGCAATTGTGCGACCTATCAACAAGATAACATTTAATATTTTAGAATGAGTATTACAATATTAAAATATCAAATTTTGATATTTATGTATTACTCACCCTATCTTTAAACCATTCAATAAATTGTCGCCTCCATTCTGCATCAGACAAGTGTCGAGCATTCTCATGAGTTTGTGTAAACTCTCTACAAAATTGAAGTGAACCATAAGTCTCGTACTGAAAATTAACTAACCTAAAAGAATAAAATAAATGAGATGATATAAAAGAAATCTTCATACTTGAGATATGGTAAAACTTCATCACAGTTCTTCAATATGTATATATGTGCTTGTTCTAGTTCATATGCTTCAAGCTCACATGGATCTTTAGCTCCTAGAGTTTTTCCAGGTTGACTAAAAATAGATAAACCACCATTCGATTGTTTTAAACCACCATCATAATTTCGTTCAGGATGATTGAATCTTGTGTCAACTCTATGCAAATACCTTGAACATAAAGTCATACATTCATTTGCAATGTAGCCCTCTGCAATACAACCTTCTGGACATGCCCTATTACCAATGAGAGATTTCAAAAAATATAACCATCGCTCCACAGGATACATCCACCGATAATGAATCGGTCTAGGAATTTAAGCTTCAGTAGCTAAATGAACAGGTAAGTGCACCATGACATCAAAAAATGAAGGAGGGAAGACCTTTTCCAACTTGCAAAGTGTTATGGGTATTTGTGCTTCAATATGCTCCAAGTTTTCAATTCTCAACTCTTTTGATCCAAGCACACTAAAAAATATAGACAATTCAATAAGAGGTTCACACACTTCTTTGGACAACATAAAAGATACTTTTCTTGTTCCAATTATCCTCTCGATTTTCATGTGATATCTTCTTTCTTTTCTTAGGATCTTTTGATAACGGTAGGCCTTCAAGATCTTGCACTTGATTAAGTATCTCAATACCGGAACATACTTTTGGTGGAGGCCTTTTCTCTATTGTACCATCAAATGAGCCCTTCTCACTTCGCCATTTGTGATTTTGAGAAAGATAACGCCGATGACCCATAAAACACTACTTCTTACCCCTGGATAATCGAATTGAGGAAGTGTCTTTATTGCAACATGGGCATGCCAATTTTCCTTTTGTACTCCATCCCGATAAATTTCCATATGCTGGAAAGTCATTGATGGTCCATAATAAAGAAGCATGCAACTTAAAATTTTGCTTAGTTGATGCATCATAGGTCTCAATACCAACTTCCCACAACTCCTTCAATTCCCCTATTAAAGGCTGGAGATATGTATCAATTGCATCTCCTGGACCATTTGGACCCGGAAAAAGCATTGACAAAATAAAATTTTCTTCCTTCATACACAACCAAGGTGGTAAATTATAAGGAATAAGAACCACAGGCCAAATGCTATGTGAGGTTTTTGAATTTCGGAATGGTTGAAATCCATCACTAGCAAGTCCAAGTCGCACATTTCGAGGCTCAGCCGCAAATGAAGGATGAAGTTCATCAAATGACTTCCATGCCATTGAATCAGCCGGGTGCCTCATTATTCCATCTTCAACTCTTTTATCCTTATGCCATGTCATCAAAGTAGATGTCTTGGTACACATAAACAATCTCTGAAGTCTATGCTTTAAAGGAAAATAGCGTAAACTCTTTAATGCTATCTTTTTACCTTTTTTATTCCTTGTTTCCCCGCTATGTGTATTTATTTTCCATCTCGACGCACCACAAACTTTGCAAGAATCAAGTAAGCTATCTTCCTTCCAGTATAACATGCAATCATTAGTACAAGCATCAATCTTATCGTATGAAAGACCAAGTTCTTTAATTATCTTCTTTGCCTCATAATATGAATTTGGCAAATTGGCACCATCAGGCAACAACTCCTCTTTCAACATTTTCAATAGCATTGTAAATGATGCATTACTCCAACGACCCATACTTTTGATATGAAGCAATTTGATCAAAGTGGAAAGCTTTGAAGCTTTTGAATTTTGGTATAATGGCAACTCAAAATCCTTCAATAGGCTGTAAAAGTTTTTTGCTTCATCATTTGGTTCCTCTTCAAGTAAGTCATCAGTATGTGTAGTTCTTCCATCAAGATTAGGATATAGGTCTCTCAATAGTTCTTCTACTTCATCTTCACTCTCACATTCTTCTATTGCATCATCATCTTGTTCTTCATCTTCATATTCTAATTCTGATAATGGCTCACCCAAACGTTCTCCATGGTGATACCAAAAAGTATAATTGCGAATTATTCCATGTACTAGCAAATGTGTCTCAACTGTTTTACGAGTTCCTAAAGTTGAATTGTAACATTTGACACACGAACATCGTATTTCATATTCTTCTCCTATTTTTCGAAAAGCATAATCCAAAAACTTTTGCACACCAATCAAGTAGATTTCATCGAGACGATTATCAACAAGTTGCATCCACTGCTTACTAGGTGCCATAACCTTTATGAGGACATAACAAATTCTTTTAAAAATATAAAGAATAACAAAAAATATAAGATGCAAACAACTTGTTACGATCAGATAAACACAATAGGGTTGAAATCTAAGGATAGATGTCACTAAGAATTATAAAAGATTAAAAGTTTACTTATAGAGCTAAGATGTTTGTTCCTAAAACATGATTTTCCTTTGAGCCTACCAAAGATTGGAGTAAGTAATTACACAAAACAATATATATTACGACATAAGATTATCTAAATAGTCATTTGATACTAAGAAAACTACTTGTTTATAGTTACGAAATAGTTAGTTCACTTGAATCTTCAAACAGTACATCAAGAAAGGACTAAGAAAATTACAAAATCACTAAAGATGTGAAACTAGTATGTTATTCATACAATAATTAATTTTAAAAAAAAATTATATGCACTTTACATAAAATAATTGTCTATAGATAAAACCTGCTGAAGCAATCATAAAAGAGATGAATATAACTTGAAAAAAATGATAGGGAATGTTATCCTATATACATCGTTACAAGCAACAGATTTTTTTTTGTACTTCCCGAAAAACATAATCGCTAAAACCCCACATGGAGTTAGTCCCTGGAAACTCATAAGCAAGACTTAATAGAGCTTAAAATCTCTAGTACCCCACATACATTTAGCCGCTGATATTCATAAACAACAAAAACATTGGGATTATGCAAATATATGCTATTCACGAAATAATTAGGATTTTCAAATACAACATACTGTCAAATCGGAGGGTCACTGCCTTGGAGAATGTTGTGAAGCCTCGGTTGGAAAACACGCTTCTTTACATCAAGGGGGAACTTAATGAACTGGAAAGGGAAGATTTCTTCCATTTAAAGAAGATACAAGGTTACAAGAAGAGGGAGGTAGAGAAACAGATGGCTGCTGCCAGGCTATATGCAGTGGAGAAGGCTGCTGAAGATATTTCTTTGAAGAGAGGTATTTCGCTTAGTTCAGCCCATAACTTACTGTCCCATGTTTCACATAAAGATGAGGATATTGTTTTCTGATATGGAGGTAAGTTTTTATTAGTCGCATCTGCTGTCAAATATAGATGGATAATATAATTATCAGATGGAGAGATTTTTCCTGTTCAACAAGAGTTCTGTGCATGTTTGTAGTTAAAAAAAACACTGCCAAATTATTAGTTCAATTGCTTACTCCTTATACTCTGTTTTAAAACCATTCCTTGTCCAATACTGATGATCAAGAAACAAGAAAACAACAAAATCGAGTCAAATATATTAGAATGCTCAACCCAATAATCTTTTACTGACAAATAAGAAAACATAGCAGATTTTGAAACTATTAACTTATTTAATGTTAGAAAAGAGGAAGAAGAAGATGACTAACGTGAGTAAAACAACAAAAAATCCATCAATACAATTTATGGAAGAACACAAGAAACTCGATTTAGAAGAGGAAACAAACCTCGAATTCCTTTTGTCGCAGCTAAGCAGCAACTAAACAATGAAGAAGACAAAGGTGCTCTGAAAATTCACTGGCAAAATCGAGTCAACTATTAGAAATCACAACCCAATAATCTTTTACTGATTCTAAGGAAGAAAACAGAGCATATTATGAAAGTTTTAACCTATTATGTTAGAAAAGGGGAAGAAGAAGAAGACTAACTTGAATAAAATAAGAAAAAACGTATCAATCGATCAATGGAAGAAACAAGCAACTCGATTTAGAAGAGGAAACAAACCTGGAATTCTATTTTTTTCGCAACTATATGCAGCAACTACACAATGAAGAAGAGAACACTACTATGAAAATATATTCACTGCATTGAGATTGGACAGTGTCGAAGCAATCTTATTGATGAGGCGATGATTTGAAGAAAGCTAGGGTTGCGACCATATAGACTATTCTGAAAAAAGGAAGAAGAAAAGACTATTCCTATTCCACATATATACGTTTATTAATTTTCTGAAAAAAAGAGCGGGTCTTTTTTTTTGGCTAATGAAAAAACACTTAGCGCCTAAATTTTGGTTAAAACAAATTAAAAGTTTATTTTTTTAATATTTCAGTATTAAATTTTGGTGGATGTAATTTCCGCTAATTCCTTCAATTAAAATTTGGGACCAGTTATTAAGTTCTTTAGGGACCGGATTTAGTATCTTCGCTATAAAATATATATATAAGGACCAGAATATAATATCGTCCCAATACATATATCATTAGGGAAGGGATTACTAGCTCGTCACTAAATGTTGGTCTTAACAAACTGTTTTTCTTGTAGTGAAAATAGGGAAACCAAGCTCGGTCCTCGAAACATGAGGACTCACCAATCTTCAAGCCTCTATAGGAGATCCTTAGCCACGGAAGTGCGAATCTTTAAGGTCGGTCCCTACATTTGGGGAATATGTAGGGAAAAGTATGTGTCAGTATAAATATGTACTAAGTAATATAGCCATGCATGAAGCGTAACAATCATGATAAAGGAAAATTTCTATAATATGCAATAACGAAGTTAAAATATGATAGAAATAGTTAGAGAACATAGTCATAAAACATGGTCAATGCAAGTAGACATCGTGTTAAAACACATGTGAGATACTTATGAAATAAACTTTATTTATTATGGTGGGAGAATTACCTTTATCTGACATGTAAGACCCTGTAAGCTATTAACATGGAATCCGGTGTCTCCCACACCTAAAATGGGTGTCCTACTTGTGAACGTAAGACAATGAACATCTAGCTTATGTGGATCCACTAGCTAATGTCTATCTAGACAATCCTATGTTGGCACATAGTTTATAGGACATGGGTCTTGTCCACTCAGTACTAAGCATAACTCCCACATAATATCTATTATTATTATTCATTTATTCTTTAAGGGACTTGTTAATCGCCTGTTGTCCTTACATCATGTGACATGGGTAATCACCTTTTGTCTTTCATTAGAGGTCATGGGTAATCGCCGCTTGCCCTATTCTTATAATAAATCCTTTACTTTGATTCATTTTAGGTGAGATGACCTTTCAACCTTCGAACCCTTTATGTGAGAAATCCTTTCACAACAATGAACAATAACAACAACATAGTTTTTCATTATCAAAGCAATTTACATCATACTTTATCAATTCCAAAAGAACATGCACAAGTCCATAATTCAACATTCATAATTCAAAACCCACTTTCAATCATGAATATCTAGAAAACATGGGTTAAGCGTGATTTCATGTGGATTCATCTTAAAATCATGAAATATAACTCAATTCATGCATAGTAATTCATAAACCTAAATATATCAATATTTAAAGGAACCCATGACATGGAAGAAAAACCCCAACTCAATTATGGATTTCTAACTTTATAAATTGGAGAATTTCTGAACACCATGATGGAAAGGACTCAATTTATGAAAACTATCATACATCAATGCCAAAAGCTTGCCTTCAATGGTTGAATTGGGGGCTTGATTAGAACCCCTAGGTTGACTCCTTCTTCTTTAAGCTTTCTAGAGAGATAAATATTTTTGAGAGGAAGACTTATTCTTCTTTTAAGAAATTGAGAGAATGATTTAAATTGGGGAATTTTTGGTTTAAAAACACTTATATAGGACTTTTAGGTATGGTAAAAGAACATAGTATTAGGATAGAATAATTAGGAAAAGACCCAAAAGACCTGACTAAAAACTGACGCGACCATTGTCACAATGTTCCTCACAACCCATCAAGGACCTCACGAGCCATCATGGAAGTCATGGTCCTTGACCAGTTGTTGGGTGAGAGCCCCTATTGCCCTTACCTTCTTCTAGACCACCTTAATAGTATGCGATGCTCACCAAGGGCCGTCTAGGGGTTCGTGGGAGGGGAACCCAACTTGCTCAAGCTATGGAAGCTGGTCACGATCACCAACACGAGTTGTGGTCCCATTCACGGCCCGACAAGGGATCCGTGGAGGGTCCCATGGCCTAGTTTTGTGCTGGTGACTTCCGGCTTGGCCCCTTCCCTAGCTTCTTTTTATTCCGAGGTGTTACATTATCTCCTCATTGGGAAAATTCGTTCTCGAATGAGATTCAAGACATCATAAGGATGGTAGAAACTTAATCTAACAGTCGAACATACATGCAATAAATAAATGCACATATCCGAGTGGTAATAGTCAACTTCAAGCTAAACCAGGGTCAAAACATTGTATCATGAAGTCAATACACAACTCATACCTATATGCACATACACATGTAGGAATCAAATACATAACTTATTTTCTCAACATCTAAGCTTTTTATTAATCATGTATAATCAGAAAAATCAAGGGAATATCTAAGAGACATGACACCCAATGAGTAAATTAGGAGTAGCTAAATACATCAAGCTTCAGTAGATACGAAGGGAAAGAGATGAGTATATCAGGACATCACATAAGCCTCGGATTACCAAGAAATACCCTCAACTAAGTGATTCCTCCAAAGATCTTTTACGAAAGAAACTTCATTATTTCTTAACTTCTTAACTTGCCGGTCTAAATTCTAATCCGAAATATCCTCATAAGAAAGATTCTGCTTAACTTCCAAACCTTCAAACGGAACTATAGATGTCGGATGTCCAACACATTTCTATAACAAGGAGACATGGAAAAATGGATGTACCAATTCCAACTAATTAGGCAATTCAAGTTCATAAGTTGCCTTGACATTTTACCTCAAAATCTGATATGGACCCATATAACGGGGACTAAGCTTTCCTTTTTTCCCAAACCTCATTACACTCTTCATGGGTGAAATTTTCAAGTAGACCCAATCATGAACATCAATCTCAAGTTCTCTTCTTCTAACATCGCCATAGGACTTTTGTCAACTTTGAGCCGTTTTCAACCTTTCTCTAATGAGTCAAACTTTATACATAGCCTTATGTACAAATTCGGGACCTATCAAAGCAAATTTACCCACTTCAAACCAACTTATTCGATAGCTACAACTTTTGCTATAAAGGGCATCAAATGGAGCCA